TCTTCCGAGCGCCGTACCCTACACATGTCCTAGGAGGGGGTTGTGTGAGGTCCACAATAGTATACCACCAGTGCCAGCTTGTGTTATAGATGCATGGGAACTTTTAAATCCATTTTGTAGCACTGTTCATGAACTGTTCATAAAAAGTCAAGCTATAAATGTTTCCCACAGCAGCTGAATGCCTCTGAAGGCTTACACATTTGCAAAATATATTTGAAAAAAATAAGTTGAGTACAGTAGGACCTAGCCTATCAATTTATTCAAGACCCTATATTGAAAATCACTTGAGAAGTTGAGAAACTTATAATCGAATTAAAATTTTAAGTGATATAAAATGTTTACATCGCTTGTGTAATCTTGCTGTTCTAGTATAATAAAATAACTTCTAAAATGGTTAACGTGAGGCAACTTGTTCAATGTAGTATATTTTTTTTCTTGCATTATTTGGCCATGTTCTCATAGAGTATTCTGGAAAACAAAACCATTCTGACTTCTGCTTCTAATCATACGTTATGTCCTTTGTTTCAATAACAGCTTTTGTCCATATTCAACTGCCGTTGAAAATGTCTTAAAGTGTGGTTGCTATAGGTTTTAGGTCTTTCTATAATCCTAAACGTTTACCGACTAAGAAGAATTAAAAATAAAATATCTTGAAATGTTTTTAAAAGTGGCATATACATTCCTAAAAGATTGCTGTTCTGTAAACTATTTTCCACAGAACAGATAACTAAGGTCAGGTTAGCAGTTTACCTCACTTACTTAAACACAGACAAGTTTAACCTACACTAAGCAGATTCAAAAATGCTATGTAATGCAGTGTTTGGCATATGATGAATCAACATCTAATACGATGCTTGTTTTTTTTCATTTAAATCAGTGCATGTCTATTACCAGAAAAGCTTACCATTTATACAACATTAGTTGGGTTGCTGAATGCCAGGAACTACAACTTTGGTGGGGAATTTGTAGAAGCTATGATCCGCCAGCTCAAAGAATGTTTGAAAGTGAATATGTAAAATGAAGCTGAGTACTTAGTAAGTAAGTGGGATCTTTTTTTTTTCTTGTCTTGTCTTGTCTTGTCTTGTCTTGTCTTGTCTTGTCTTGTCTTCCTTCCTCCTCCCCCACCTTAATGATTTTTTTTCTTGTCTTGTCTTGTCTTGTCTTGTCTTGTCTTCCTTCCTCCTCCCCCACCTTAATGATTTACTGTTTTTTTTGACATCTAGAGGGGCTAGAGGGTTTCTGTATGCAAGGTTGTCTCTTCTGTCCTCCAAAGCAGTGTTCCATAGATGTATCAGGAGAAATGTGTGGTATTCAAGAGATTGCCTTCCTAAGGAGAGGGGAAAAATCATGTTATGATTGCAAAACTGACCTCCAACTGTGTGTTTTCCTCCATCCCATCTCCATTTATTGGAGTCATATAGATTGTAGGGACTATTACAATAAAGTTTAACAGGCATTGCTTCAAGTCATGTTGATTGGGATTATGGGGGAGTCTGTACAGAAAGTTTATTTCTTAGGTGAATTATCATTTTATTGGTGGTTTGTTTTAGCAGTTGAATTAATGCTTATTTGTTCTTGTGTAGCTACACAATCGTAATCAGCTAATTACTGATTAAGTATTAATTTAAATTAGATTTTTTTTATTCATTAGGTTCATTTTCTATCTGATCTTGTAAATTGTCATGTAATAGCTGCACCTTCAATGGTAGCCATGTTTGAGAACTTTGTGAGTGTGACACAGGAAGAAGATGCACCCCAAGTAAGTGAAGTAACTGTAGCCTCAATCATTGTGCTGTTTTCATGCAATTTCACTTTATTGCTGATTCTATACTTATGCATGTTTCTTAGCATGACTAAAAGGATGCTGTGGCAGGAAATAATAGGTCTTTTATAGTGAGGTAGCTCAACTGAATTAATTTTACTTCACTTCTGGCAAGTACATAATCCTTGGTGATATCTGCCAAGTTTATATAGCAGTTGTGATATATAGTCAATCTGCAAAAAGATTCTGAGAGTAATATTTGTTTATTTTATGCATGAATGTCATGTTCCAAATAAACTACAACAACTTCAGGTAAGAAGAAGGGGGAGGGGGGGTTGCTTTTTTTTGTTCCCTTCCCCCTGCTACCAATCCAGCAAGCACACTGTGATGAGTGCATAGCAGCAGCCTAAAGAATTCATTGGTCATGTTAAGGCCACTGTAACTGTGATGCATCTTATGGGTCACATAGTTCTAACATATGGAAGGGTCAGCTAATAAGCCGATAACTTAGTTCAACTTCTATCTTACTTTTTTACTTGCAAAGTTTAGAAAGAAATTCTTAGCAACTCTTTAAATTCTTCAAGAAATTTGGCATTGGTAACATTGAATGATTTGAATAAAGAGGATCTGTAGGATTTCTGTGTGGATCTCCAAATATATCACACATCTAGATGTGCCTATTGAAATATATATTTCTGTTTTCATATAGAGTATCTTAACATGTCTTCAGGAACTTGGGATTATAACTATGTGTCAGTTGCTTTAATTGGAATCGATCTCTACATCCCCTTAAATACTTTTGAGTTTGCTACTCTTTACAATGAGACAAATTAAGTAATTCTTTGAGAAATTTACAGAATTAATTTATTGCAGGTACGATGTGATTGGTATGTGTTTGCGTTTCTGTCATCTTTGCCTTGGGTTGGAAAGGAGTTGTATGAGAAGAAAGATGCTGAAATAGATTGCCTCTTGTCCCACACAGAAAGCTATCTGAAGTAAGCTATAACCAGGAAAATATACTCTTTCAGGTACTGTCAGGGATTGCAGCTGGTCTGT